TAGTAATAATAATATCAGTGATATTAGCAATGGGAGTCAAGCAGGACCATGGCAGGAGGCTCCACCAGGAGCATGTGCTGATGGGTCCACTACAGCTGCTGGACTGCTAGAGCGACAAATCCCTCCCTAATAAATACATAAATATGAGGAAGCCAGTTTCCCTTTCAGAACAGTTATTTTCCAGTACTGTTATCATTTAATATACATTTACGTGTCTGACAGTAAGAGAGAGATTTGTCTCCAGTGTTCAACAGGAAGAAGTGATGGACACAGTCAAAGAGATTCTGCTGACTGAGCTGAAGAACCTGAAAGCTGAAGAGTTTGAAGAATTCAAGTACCTTCTCCAGGAGTATGGATCCAAAGCCCAGACGGCTCTGTCTAAAGATGGAAGTTACCTGAAGATTGCACCATGTGACCTGGAGAACGCAAACAGGCGCAAGACGGTGGATCTGATCGTTCAGACGTACAGCAGCCAGCCGGTGTTCGTCACCCAGGAGGTGTTAAGTAAAGTCGGCAGGAACGACCTGGTGGAAAGGCTGGACAGACAGAGCTCAACCAGAGGTAAAACTACAAATACAACCAGTAAAACTACAAAATTGACAAATAAAACTACAAATATTACCAGTCAAACTATAAGTATAACCAGTAAACCAGTAACCAGTTTATCTACATACTAATGCATATAAACTCAATACCATAAAAACATCATTGTAAAGACGATCATTTCTAGAATTTATTGTTACAGCAGGACACAAACAGAAAAAATGTTTCTGTAAAATTCATCCTGTAAAAAACCTTTGTGTAAATCCTCATTAACTTGTGGAGTTGCTCAGGGAAGTATCCTCGGTCCTCTGAACTTTTCATGAATCCTTCAGATTTTTGTTGTTCCAAACTGATGAGAGACTGCTTTCACGAATGTCCTCATCGGATTATCAGTTAATATTAACTATTAATGGGCGCCTGGTTAGCTCAGTAGGTGGAGCTGGCGACCCATGTACGAAGTTGCTGCAGCGGTCCCGGTTGATCCGACCTGCGGCCTTTGCTGCGTGTCATCCCCTCTCTCTCTGTCCCCCCATTCCTGTCTATCTTCGGCTGTTACTATACAATAAAGGCAATAAAAAGCCAAAAAAATAACTTAAATTTTTTTTTTTTTTACTATTAATGAACAATGATGATTGATGAAAGAGCCCTCTGATCTGAAACATCCCCTCTCTCCCTCCTCAGGTCCCCTGCAGTTCAACACCGGTAAGATTTCAGCATCCAGTGAAAATTATTTCAGAATATCTGAACACAACTGTGAGACCTGTTCTCTATCTCTGTCTGCCTCTCAGAGACCAATATGATGTAATGGGGTTGCCATGGTAACCACATCAGCACAGACCTGTACGTTGAGGACAAACACCAGCAGACGTCGGATTCTTTTATTGTTTCTATTTCTTTTTCTGTATCAAGTTTTTACATGTTAAAGTGGAATCAGAGCAGCTTTTTATTTCTTTTTAACGCCTGGGAAACTTTATTTCTAAAAAGTCTTGAACACACTGAATTTGGTCATTAGAGTTACTCATAAACAGAATCTTTATTATTTTCATTGGAAAACAGGGCAGTTTGGATTGCGTTCATTTGTCTGGATTAATACATCTTAATTTATTAATCACTGACACTAAAAACCTTTTATTGATATATTTGAAATTCAGTAGCTGCATCAGAAATATTTTATTCACATAAAACATGGCCCAAAAATAATAAAAATGTACAAATTGTACAAAAACAAACTCTGTGAGGAGTTATAGTACTAATAGCTGTATATGAGACCATTTCTGACCTCCACCAGGTGTTTTCTTACATTCACTTTTTAAAGGTTTTAAGTCAGAATTTAACTTTTTTTAAGTTTTTAAATAAACTAAATACAGTTTTTCAGATCTGTGATCTCTTATGTTGATGTAATTTACTTTTCTTATTTGACTTTTAGAAACATACATTCTGCATTTCAGAAATTGTTCACCGTGAGTTGTGAATCCAGTTTTTCATTATTTGGGTGCTTGAAAATGAAATAGCTGGAATTGAAAATATTAAATGATAAAGTTTTTCACTTTAATGTTTTTTCGAAACACTCGTTGAAATACAGATTTTCTAAAACTTAAAAAATCTTTCAGTTTTTCTAAAGAAGGAAAGTAAATTATGTAAATTATTAATATTATTAAGAGTTTGAATTTATTTAGCGCACAACAAAAGTTATCTCAGAACACTTTTCAAACAGAGCAGATTATTTACAGAGACCCAACACTTTTTCACACAATTTAATGAAGACAGTGAACTTGAAATTATGAGTTTAGTCAACGTTTCATTGTTCCCCATTTTTTAGTGTTCAGTTAACAGGTGTGCCCTAAAAGTTTATCGTTTTTTTCACATCTGAACTCTTTAACAGCACCAACATTTGTGTCTTCAGACTTCCTTTTTTGATCACAGCACTGTCTCTTTGGGCTTGTTCTATTGTTCACATTTCTAACTAATGTGGAATCTGCTGTGCAGCTATTAGGGTTTAGTATTGTTGTGAATTCATCAAGAAATAAACTGGTTTAATAGAAGTAGTTGTTTTTTCAGTTTTTTCCATAAAGTGAGACAGAATTGGAAATCAGATGAATTTTATATGAGCAAGTGTTTATGCTTGGTGACTTTCAGTTTCCATATAATATTTGACAAATCACCCATGGACACTGATATACAGATGAGTTTTATTTTTATTGAATGTCAGTAAAATACTCTCTTATTTACAGAGTTTAATCTGTTAATTTTCCATGTTAACTTTCCGTGTTAACTTTGTTCTATATCTGTTATACATATAAACTCAATACTATAAAAACATACAACATTGTACAGTTGATCATTTATAGAATTTATCGTTACAGCAGGACACAAACAGTAAAAATGTCCCTGTAAAGTTCATCCCGTAAAAAACCCACAAACATTTGTGTAAATCCTCATTGTCCTCAATAACTTGTGGAGTTCCTCGGAGAAGCCTCCTGGGTCCTCTGAACTTCCTATTACAACTTATTTAGATTTAAGAAAAAACTTGTTTTCTGTTTTCTCCAGAGTCAGATGTTTATGAACAGATAGATCCAGGATGCATTTAGCCTAGCTTAGCATAACCACTGGAAGAAATTTGATCATTACTCATTTGAGTCTAGAACAGAACTTGGCTCAATTGCTCGAAACTGTAAGATCCAGTGTTAAATACGATGATGGTCTTGTTCATTTCAAATGTTAGGCAGTCCCTCCAGGAAGTTCCAATGTGGTGATCACAACACAAGTTCAATTAATCTCTGTGAATTCTGTGCATCATTGCAACTTTTCCGCAATTTTCACCTATCACAGCAGATCCCCACTCCAATCACTGAGCCATACATCAAACCACTAGATATTTTATTCTCACTGGAATAAGTTGCTTTTGATTTTTAATCAATTATTTATTTAAAAAAATCGCAACCACTTTTGCAATTTTAACTTTCTCTTGCAATGTAGTTCCAAAATAATTGCTAAAAACATCACAATGTGCATCGCAATTGTTTTAGAAAAGCTGTTGCAACGATCCCAAAAACAAAATCCTGGAGGGACTGATTAGTAAAACATATATTTGGTGTCAACATACACTGATTTAGAAAATTCGTTTTCTGTGCAAATCTGGTTTCTGTATTGATCGATACGGGGAACACATCAGCTCTTACTTACTTACTGAGACTCCAGTCTGTGAACAACAAGCAGATAATTTTAATACAAACTAGTCTGGTTGACTGTGAGATTAAACATACTGGAGTCAGCAGGTAAGACTTCAGAATCAAATCTTTTCTGTTCTATACCAATCAACTAATTAAACAATATGACAATAAAAGAAAAGAAGAATCCAATGAGAGATTACACTTCCAGTTTGTTTGGGAAACCTAAAGCTGCTGCATTGTTCCTTCCTCTCTTGACTTTTTGTCTGAATGTGAATACTGGTGTTCAGTTGATCAATGTTAGTGGCTCCAGAGTCTCTGTAAGTACATAATTTTTATATTTTCTGAGAACAGTTAATGAGTTTGATAAAATTGATATGAAAACAAGCTAAAATTACATCCATGGGTAAGTCATTATGTCATAAAATTTCCACATAAAGTGTATAACTCCTGTTTGGTTTGATGTATTCTTTGAGGAGAGAGACCTTTAAACACGTAACATCTGTAACGTTTATATCTTTAAGAACAGAAAAGCACAGTCCCTAGAGATCGACGGGTCATGGAGGTCTACTTTTTTAAGGTAGTAGATATTTTGTTTTGTTGAGGTTCCTAGAAGGCACATCAAATTGTTGGTATGTTGCATTATTCCAGCTTTTCATTTCTCCAGATCCAAGCATTCATTATCTTAGAGGAGTCCAGCAGTCTGTAGCAGCAGCTGTGTGTTAGTTCAAACTCAGCCTTGTTATAATGTAAACTATTATTAAGTTGTAATTTATGCAATTCAAAAATAAAAGTTGCAACTTCAATCTGAGTAACAACTAAATAGTTACACATCCTCTAAGGTAGTGTAAATCATAAAATATCAGTTAAACTCACTGATGGTAAAACTGCAGTCTTCCATTTTGAGACACAGTAATCAAGTACAGACCTAAATTAATGATATGATATTTCAATATTGATCTAGCTTACTACGATGTGTTACAATGCTTAGTGGCTCATGCAAGCTAATGTGCACGGCAACCATGGTGATGAAAGAATTTCTTTGATTGTTGATTGGTCGTGTGTCTTAGTTATGATTTTATGTCCAAACTAGTTCAGTTATGCTCCAAGTAATCGTGGTGCAACTGATTTCAGAGCTGATTTATTTACAAACTAACTAGTTGTTGATCGTCTGGAGTTGACTTTACACCCTGACTGAGAGAACTCACACACAGCTGGTTCAACCCAGTCCTGGGTTTTATGTAGTTCCACTTAGGTTCTACTTCGGTTTTTTAAGGGTAGGTGGTCTGGTGGTGAGACAAAGGTATTATGTAGTGAACTCCAATATCCACAGGAGTCCATAAGAAAGGAGGTTCTAGAAGGTTCCTAAATGATCTAGAACCTGTGTGGATAGTTGTTCCCCAAAATAAGTATGGGTTTTGGGTTTTATTGAGGTGTCAAATAGGTGTATTTTGTTTGGTCTGTTGCCTTGACGACAGAGTGATGGCGCTAGTGAAGGTTTCAGAAAATGTCCAGAGTTCTCGATGGTTCCATTCAGGATCCAGCAGTATTGTTTAAAATTAGGTGGTCTCGTAGTGAGAGCATTGTGGCCTCAACAGATTTCAGGTCCAACTTCTAATTTTAGTATCCACACAATTTTAAAAAAGCAGCAGATGATGTTTGGGTCCAGAGTTTTTGGAGGTTCCAGACAAATCTGGAGCAGTTTGTTTCAAAGTGAGAAATCTGTGAGTTTTAAGGGCTGAGTAAATTTTTGTCCAGGGCTCGATAGTTCCACCTAAGTTCTACCTGAATCAGTTAGAACACAGAGGAGGATGGGTTCGGCTCCTGAGATCTACAAAGCTCTGGAACAAGTTTTTTCTGCTGATCTTTTGCATTGGTAACATCAAGTTAAAGGTTTAAAAACCAGTCCAGGGTTCAAGACTGTTTCACTCAGGTTCTAGCAGGATCATTTCCTGCGGTAATCCTCCATGAAATGACGATGTTTGGTTACAGAGATCTACAAGGTTCTCGGAGGACCTGGAATTTGTTGGAATAGATCTTGCTTAAAGTTTTGTGGTTTTTAAGGTGCGAAGGAAATATGTTCCATTTGGTCTGTTGCTTTGAAAAAAAGAGTCCAGGGTTCTAGGTGGTTCCACTCAAGTTCTACTTGGGTCGTTTAAGGCACAGTGGTTAAAAAAGGGGCATCATAGCCAGCAGTTCAGTCAAAGGTGATGTTCCAAAGTTCGAGAAGGTTCTCTGAAGATATTTGGCAGGTCTTGTGAAGTTTGGAGGTCTTCCAGGAGGTTCCCTCTACCTCTGGGAGAAGACAGTCTGGAACTCGTTGAGCATGAGCTCCACTATCTGGCTCTGGAACACCATGTGGATCGTCATATTGGCAGACTCGGTCTGGGGGCGGAGCAACGTGGGGCCAAACACAATGGCGACGCTCTGAACCGACATCCTGTTAGAGTCCTTATGCTCAACCACTCTGCAGAGAGTGTTAATTATTCATTAATTATCATCGTTTATACACTGTTTAATGATTATAATTATTGGATTTTGAATCAGCTCCATATAGAACATTAGCTCTTAGAGTTTTATCCTGTTTAATGATTATAATTTTTTTTATTGAATCAACTACATACAGAATATAGAAATGTTACATAATATAGATTTAAGTATAAAATCTAGTCCTCAGCCTTTTGTATGTTAGTATGAAGCTTCAGAGTGAACTGACCTCCGCAGGTGTTTGAACAGCAGCTCCATAGTGTCATGGTTCGGCAGAGGCAGAGAGCGAACCAGGTCCCTCATGTAGGAGACTCTCAGGCTGTAGTCTGGGACTTCTGCAGGGAAATAAAGGTTCTTTGTGTCAAAAAAACACAGCAAGCTTTGGTTTTGGGATTGTTTCCTCAGTTTTTGGACTGATGAGATTGTTTGTAATATGGGTATGTTAATATCTACATAGTACAGGAGGCTGTCAGGGTTAGCAACCTGTCATTTCCTTGTCATTTGGTCTGGTCTTTCAATCTCAGTAAATGTACACACTTTATAACCCATTTTTGTTCAAAAGGGCTGCGCACCCCATCCGTAAAAAAAGACTGTTCTATTTTAACATTTCCGTGGTGCATACATGCCACTTATGTGTCTGGTGTATCCAGTTTCATTGATTATGATAGTAGCGTAGTGTTGCAGCATCCCCTCCGCATATGTCACGTGTTCAGTGTAGCCAGTACGTTAGCCTTACACATGAAGATGTATTTTTGTTTGATTGGTACCAAAAATCTTAATCTCACGTTCATGTTTTGGATCAAATTTCACTTTAGACTGTAATATTTATGTCTACATATAATTTTAACACAAAATCATACATGGTTGCACTCATTTTCAATAGCTGTGGTTTAAATGTATGTATCACATGCTATAGTTTGGTTTGCGATGTGGGTTTTTTGTGTACTGACGGATGGCAGCAATGAACTTGTCAAAGCAGCTGAAGGGGAAAAGCGGCTCTGGAAGCTCCCTCAGGAAAAGCTTTAGGGCTCCGGTGATCACATGGATCTCCTCCCACTGTCCATCCTCCAGGTCCAGCTGCTCCTCTGCAAGGACAACAGAGATATTATGAAGATAAGAAGAACAACCTTCTGCTGCAGCTTCTCTCTGGACTGAACACAGTGTGATTACATCAACCACGTAACGCAGGACATCGTCTGCATACAATGACAGCTTTGGTTTGTTACCGTGATCAGCTTTGTGTCGTAGTTTCTGGATCACAGCCAGGTTTCCGCTTACTCTGTAGATCCCGTCCACATCCAGACCTAGATAGATAGATAGATAGTAGATAGGATAGATAGATAGATTAGATAGATAGATTTTAACTTTTTTTAATTTTTATTCCCGGGAGGGGAAATTCAAGATGAAGATTTAACCTGAACACAGTTGCACACACTAATCAGTCTCCTGTGTGTTTATTTGAGTGGAATGAATGTGTGTCGAGTATGTGTTTACCTCTCCTCTCCACCGTTCTGATACACTTCTCCAAAAATTTGGGAATGGTGGTGTTTTCTCTGTGACAGAGTGTGTCCAGGTGACAGCCAAACACGTTGTCTACGCCACAGAAAAAGAAGTGAGTGAATATTTCACTCAGTTACAACAACTCCACACAGTTTTAGCTTGTTTAAACATTGTGTCACTGTGTCACTTTGCATTGCTCAAACTAATTAAACCACAAGAAGCTTTTACTGAGTACCAAAAGATGTTGGTCACAAGAGGGAAAACAAGTTCTATTGAGGACGTGGCAACAGCAAAAGGTAGCCTAATGGTGGTTGGTTGGGCAAGGGCTGCCGACCCCCTGTTTAGGATATTTTCCACCACTTTACCTTGCAGTCAACATCCTTTCCGATGGTGGGACTGAGAATGTTGCTTCTCCAAATCCACCAGACTCCTTTAATAAAAACAGTAATTTTACCTCACAGAAAAACAGGAGGTTTCATGGTCTACTACTGCCTCCATCAGCGTTAAAAGTAATGTGTAGTTTGGATCAAAATTTACTGCGTTAAAACACAGCATTTTTTCATTCCTGGTGGAAGAAATGTTAATGTCTAACAGAACAATTGGCCAAGCAGAACAGGACAGCCAACTTTTCCACTGCAGGCTCAGCGGAGCGAAGCTGGTTTTCGGCAAATGATAGCATAGTACAACAATTACATTAATCTTCAGTTTACCCTTCAAATGGAAATTTTATTTTTATTTTAATAATCTTGTCACCTATTCACCTGTTAAAAGAAGAGGTAAACAGACTAAGTGATGCATGAACAATGATCAACCAAAACAACGTCTTTTTAACCCGCTGGCCTTGGCCTTTTTAACTCATCTGACCGTTTGAGTTTACAAACTAAATACTCACTCATGTTCAATAATCTGGATGTGGGGGGCTAAATACAATTAAAATGTTTTTTTCCAGGACAATGTAAATTATCTTCCACAATATTTGGTATTTTAATACATTTTCCAGACGTTTCTAGGATTGGAAATAGTCGCAGAAATTTCCCGGTTTTCCAGTTTTTCCAGGACACGCTGTGGGAACCAAGCCGATGGAGTCTGGTGTTTCAAAAGATCATTTATAACAACTTCGTATCCACATGAGAAAGTCTTTATTCACTTTCCTGTCCCTCCGTCTGTTCCATGGACCTAAACCAAGCTGTATAATGACAAGTTGGAGCTCACTGTGCATCATCACCACATAATACCTCTAACTTAATAAATATATAATAATATATAATAACTATTTTTTTATTGCATGTTTGCACGGGGGGTCAGAGAGAGACTGAAATTTCATTTGTGGCTGTATGCGTGATGTATTGCACATCTGACAATTAAAGAGATTGACTTGAACTCATTTTAGACACAGGGAGACTGTTGGGTGAGGAAGATTACTTCAGGACCTACTCGATGGGGCGTTTGTGTGGGAGGTTTGGTGAGTATTACCTTGGATTGTAGCCTTTCTCTTTAACGCTCTGCAGCGTCGGCTCCGCTGGGGAGGAAACGTCGCAATTTGGGTCCGGAACTCGTCTAACTGCTCAGACTCGGATCTGTTCCTGGATTAACTTCCTGGGTTGCCTAAACACACAAAAGAATAGAAAATCTGAGCATGACAGGAAAACGTATTGTTCAGACTTCTTTCTGGTTTAATTCAACTTGGTCGTAAGTCATGTTATCTCGATACAGAACATCTTTGTAGATTACATACTGTATGTATAAACACACCTTAAGTACCTGGGCTAATGGAAACGTTTATCTTAATTAAACTTTATTATATCAATCCAAATCACAAAGTTGCTTAAGGGGCTTCACGGTCTGCAGCACACCCTTCAGGACCCTGAAACTCCTCAACACATCACGATGTGTTCAGGAACATAATGGTAAATAGTCATTTCAGAACACTCGTGCCCTGGGTCTAAAGGTTCCTTCCAGCGAGAATATTTAGTTTGGTTGGAGCCAGCACAATGGCACTTTGTAAAAATAATTAATTTCATCATTTCAAGCAATTGTCAGTCATTTTACTTTTCTTCTTTAGAAAAACATAGAAGAATATTTATAAAAACAAATAAACAAAATATCTTTCCC